TGCATTGGTTAACTATGTTTGCCATACACTTTAAAGTAAAGATAAGTTGAAAAGGTTGCAAGGATTTTGCCCTTTTATGGGTGGAGCTACATTTTAAAGTAGAGGGCTGAATATTCGCATAGAAAGGTGAAAGGTGGTTATATTTCTGTGGTCATATTTCTACTGGGTATACTCACTCAAAGTGGTTTCATGTCCTTAGATGTACTGGTACATACAGCCTAGGCCAAAAAATAGTTCTGCTTCCAATAACATGGCATTTGAAAATAGGGTAGGAAGGTAAGTGCATTCTTTTTGTGTTGATCATATGTAGGTGTCTGTGTGTAGTCCATGGTAAAAGGTGGTAATTTATGGTTTTTGTTTAATTTTTTCATTGTTCCCAAAACCAAATTAGGGTAGGGGCTGTCAAAATAGGGGAAGGTGGGGTAACCGGAAGCAGAATCATTATTTTTTGGCCCTATGTGTATATATTGAAGCAATGGCTGTGGATTCTCTCTTCATTGATAGGACTACAGTCTATTGAAATTTAACCCTATCACTATCATTACTGGGGTGTTTTGGATCTGCTAAAGACCGAATTGCTGTTCCCCCTCACTCCCCCATTATAATTCCTATTATTTTTTTTGGGCGTGATTTTCCTAATATTTGGCATGAATGTTGATTGGCCAGTACTGTATATGATGTCAGTTTGGTAGATACCACATTTAGAGTGCACTTTCGAAATTCACCCCATCTAATTCCATTTTGTTTTACAAACACCCACATGAATTCAAAACGTCTGCGCCCAGAACGCCTTCAGGGCTTTTCTGCGCAAAAAAAAGTAAGGAGTTAGCGTTGTGGTGATTTTATTTAGCTCTGTGGGTACAACCCGATCACAATTTTGAAATGGTCACAATTTTTCTTTTGCCCTTTTCTTTTGCCCTCTTTTGTTTCCTTTTATTTTTTTTCTAGATGATGCTCCGCTTCTTTTCTTCTAAACAGTACCTTGTAACATAAAACTTTGAACAAAAATTAACCCTTATCCAACATCTTCAAAAGTGGCCATCGCTTGAACGAAGTCTTGAACAAAATAAAACCCCAGTGTTAATATTTTGTAATCAGATAGACCATTAATTGACAAACAATATTTTGTAAGGTATGTAAAGTCACTTGACCTTTACTTCAATACGGGGCTTACAAAAAAAGTGAATGGTATTGTCATCGCCTGAAAGAGCCCCCCCCCCCCCCTAGCGGCACGTCCTAGAAAGTTGGACTATTTAAAAACGATTCATCAAACCAAACTTACCCTTGGATATTCTATGGAAAAAAACGTAAAATTATGAATTTGTGAGGTTTTAGGAGCGTGACGTCATCAAACTGGAAGTTGTCATAGGGAGAATTAGAAAATGATTTGACCCGTAGACCCTTAAAGTCTCGCATGTATGTTAAAGTTTTGGAATTTCTCTCGTTTCCTAAATATTTGCCCAAATTTCCATAAAACTTGGACACAAGGGTCATTGAGTAGCAAAGATAATGTGTGATATATTTTAGATCAAATGTCATGGGTCAACGGTCAACTGAGGTTAATCATGATGTAATTAACATTTTTGGGGGAAAGCTTACAACTTTCTACATGCTTTCATGGATTTTGATGAAACTTAGATGCAGTGACCCTTGGGTGCATGAGAAGACACAATTCTTCATGAAATTACTGAGGTCAAAGGTCATCTAGGGCTCATTAGAGGTCATTGTTCAAATATGCTTCAAATGTTTTTTGTCTAGTACATATTTTGATGGATTATAATGTCACTTAGAAGTTGGATGGAGTGATCCTTTGGTTGGGGTTCATCACAACTCTTGCAAAATTGGAGGTTAAAAGTCATGTAGGGGTCATTTGAGGTCGTTGTTTAAAAATGCACAAAATGTCAAGAACATTTTTTTAAGAACACAAAATATATAGGTGACACATGCGATCCACAGATATAAGTCTTGTATTAATTCCTATTAAGTGGCAATGTTCGTGGCACAAATAATGGCACAAATAATGTTATCAGCTATATTGTTGCCGTGACGTAAAAAGACTGTGCTTTCATTACATACATTTATTCATTCCTGAATGAAGTTTGTTTATTTTGGAAATGTTTATCAAAGTGCAAGCACATTTTTAAGAAGCTACATTATTTCTCAAAAAAATTATCCTACCTTTTCAAACATCAAGATATTACTTTCCAAGTCCAAACATCCATGTGATATAAATCCAGCAGTACACACTGCAAGGAATTGACGTATATTCTGCGCATACTTTTTTTTTTATTATTTTCATGTATACATGCCCATATATACATGAAAAGCACTTGCAAGAATAGGTGAAGTCCACCGTTGGGCCGCCCCTCCCCCCCCCCCCCTCCCGTGATGCCAGTAGTGTTTACAAACAAGGAAATGCTGCAGCTGCTGTAACCTATGTTACTTGTAGCCAATCACACTAATTTAAATATGAAATATTTTAACCCCCTACTTAAAATTGTAGCCCCCCCCCCCCCCTAAAAAGGCAAAATCCTTGCAACCATTTTAAACTGATCTTTACAGTGTATGGCAAACATAGTTAACCAATGCAGAATTCGTGTTTTACCAGCAAGTGTTCATTTTCCCTCGTTTGAATGAAGCTGCTTTAATGTGCGGCCCCCTTTTCATATTAAGGCCACGTCTACAAAAGGGTAAAAAATAACAAGTGTTAGAATGTTTGATTTTTTTTATCATGTCTCTGTGTATTTAAAAGCATGAAGAACTAAGGAAAATGGATGTTAAATACAGTTTTTCTAAATTTTTATTTGTTTGCACTCCCCTTTTTAACTGATCAAGCTCCGCCCCCAAATGGGCAAGATCAAAGATGGGTCCATCCCTTTAAATGATTTTCAGCCCATTTCGACTAAACATGCCAATTTTGAAGATTTTACCACCAAACTGAATGGTATTTTCCATATTTGAACCAACTGCTAATATATACCGCCTCTTTTACACATTTAGGCCACGCCCACAAAATGGGTGGAAAATAACAGGCGCTAAAATGCTAGAATGTCCTATTTTATGTTGAATTTCATTTTCAAAGCATAGAAAAACTACAAAAATGGATGTTAATTACAGTTTTTATGGGTTTTTATTGTTTGTACCCCCTTTTTCAAAAAATCAAGCTCCGTCCCAAAAATGGGCAAAATCCAGGATGGGTCCCGATCTTAAAATGATTTCTAGCCCATTTTGACCCAACATACCAAATGAAGTGATTTGAATACTGCGGTGTCACAGCATGATGAGGGAGTTCGATCCCAAACAAAATCAGGATAAGTGTGTTGGAGGCTGCCCCAGATGGAATCACACGGAATCACCAGTTCAGTTCAATTTCAGCGATTAATAGAGATTATTCAATCATCAGCAAATCAGTAGAAATCAGTAGAATAACAATGGGTTAATCAGTTGCAGTTAATGAACAGATGTTGATCCCAAAACTTCCCCAGTAGGCCTATATATGTGCTATGTGTGGATCCTGGTCACGATGCAAAGACAGATCACCAGGCAAAAGATCAGGTTGCAAAAGATGGCTCAATGCAAAAAGATCCAGTATGGTAAAGATCCCCAGGTGCAATAAATGAAGGTCTCAGTAGACCACGCCTACATATTGCCTACGGAAAATAAACAAGACAACCCTGCGGTCAAAATACATGGTGAATGTGTACACACAATGGCGGTCAAAGGTCACACACACACACAACGCGAGTTCATACGCTGTGCACTGTGCATATGCACGACTGTAGCTATGACGACGATGCTGCAAAATTGGAAAGTTCGTGAAAGTGTCACCAAAACGCTAGTTTCCTGCAAAGTTATGATAAAAAGGACACTCACCACAGGCTCCAGAGGCGCCCACCTTCCCTCTCAGCACATTATTATGCTGCCACACAGCAAAGGAAAGGTGAAATCTCACTGAGAAATTCCCGGCTACAAAATAAGTGACTGCCGTCCAAAAGTTGGAAGACAAGCAGTGCCTGTTTCGCGCGCTCGCGCACGATGCGGACACATCACCAAGTGTCTCTAAAATATTATTGCACCCTCAACAAAATGCTGTTACGGATTACCTAAACCCGTAAATGACATAATATTCTCAAAGGAACTTCAATTATAATAAAACAATGTAGAACAAACCCTCTAAAACTATGGACCTACTTGTTTCAAGAGTGAATGAACATCGAGTTAACAAATGCCACATTTGCATAGGTCACGCGTCAACAACAACACAGGTCAATCTAAATATAACCTTGTCTCCGGGCAGCCGGTGTGTGGATGGAGGTTACGTGCCCCCACACAAATTTCATGCTTTTACCACAAAGTGCACGATTTTTCGCTTAGCAGCTCCACTGTTGCGACTTTAATATTTCAATAGCGCCACCATGCGGACTACTGCAGCAAACCGACATAGCAACCGTGGGAATTGGAGGGCATTGGGCTGGTTACGGATGGTGAGCAAGATTATTTCCAGATTAAACCCAGTTTCATGTTTATTGTTAACTGTAAAGCCTGTGATTTTCCCAGTTATTGATCCCTAGTTATTGATTGCACTGTTTGAATCCACATATGTAAAGATTTCAATTGTTTGGGATGGGCGAAAATAGGCCACGCCACACGAGGTGTCGGAAATAGGCTCCTATTCTTCCAGTTTATTTCCATGATGATTTAGATGTTGAATAGTTTGCCCTCTATTTATGATTACCCTTATTGTATTTTCCAGAACGATCTCCACCATGATCAGTCTCTCCACCGGCCTAATTTTCCCCACTTGTCTTCCACTGAGGATGATGGGACATTTGAATTTGAAATAAAACAGGATTAATTCCGCCTGCCCAGCCAGTGCTCACAGAACACACAATCTAAGGACTCCCCTTGTGTCCTTATTTTTCCTTTACAAATGGTGACCCAGACGTGATAGGAATCAAGCTTGAGCACAAAAGGGCATACAAATAAAAACCAGTAACAGAATGGACGGCAGCGTAGAAAAACGAGTCCTCAGACCTAGAGGAACAGCTCCAAAACCACCCACTGAGGGTCCTCCAGAATCAACGGACAAACTACCCGCAGTAGCTGAGTCTGCAATACTTCCGTCGGAGCACTCTACATGCAGCTCAATTGCATCAGAGCGAAGCCGCAGTAGTAGCCACTCGTCTGTTCGCATGCGTGCTGTGGAAAAGCAGCAGGAGTATGAAGCCGCCAAGCGACGACTCGAGCTGGAAAGAGCCACGATGGCCCAGAGCAAAGAGTTTGACGAGCGACTACTGGCAGCACAGCGAACAAGAGAGGAGCTGGCACTGCGTGAAAGACAAATGGAGTTGGCCCAGGCACGGCTGGTCGCCGAACATGAAGAAAGCCGCATCCTGAAGGAAAAGGAACAATTTGCTCGACAGATTGAGCTCGAGAGACAATTACAAACTGCTGAACTCAATTTTAATCTGGCTAGGGTAGAATCCGAATTTGTACAAACTAGCATGAGTGACACACCTTTGTATTCACAATCACATGATTTGCCAAATATTACTAGTGTTGTAAGCCATTCTGTAATTTCACCCTCCACCAGCGTTCCGAGCTTGCCGGTAGCGGAAAACCCGGCGGCGCTCCAGGCCATAAATCCAATAGGCCTACCTGCTGCACACTCATCAGCTGCGAGTCTGGTACAGTTAAGCCCAAAATGCGTGCACCAAGCCGCGAACTACTCGCAACCTGTTGCGAACTTCGCGCAACCAGACGCGAGCTTCGCGCAACCAGTCGAAAGTCTCTTTCCACCAGCCGCGAGCTTCGCGCAACCAGTCGCGAGTCTCGCGCAACAAGCCGCGAGCTACGCGCAACCCGTCGCGAGCTTCGCGCAACCAGGCACAAGTCTCGTGCAACCCGTCGCAAGCTTCGCGCAACCAGTCGCAAGTCTCGTGCAACCCGTTGCGAGCTTCGCGCAACCAGTCGCAAGTCTCGTGCAACCCGTCGCGACCTTCGCTCAATCCGTCGCGAGCTTCGCGCAACCAGCCGCGAGCTTCGCGCAATTCGCGCAACCGGCCGCGAGTTTCGCTCATCCCGTCGCGAGGCAAACGCACCTTTCCGCGGACCATGCACGCCCTCTCGCGAGCCCCCTCGCGAAAGCGGGTCACACGCAAACCGCCGCGAGTTCCGCGCTCGCGTGGTCTGAGCCCTCTGCTCAGTGCCGCATGATTCCAGGCCGCTTGGCACCTGATCACAACTTCACTGCCTTTCAGCCAAGTATGGCACCGTACCACGCTGGTATTCATAATCTTTACCATGAAACTTCTCCCACTTTGGGGACAAACCCCACTCCTACTCAGGTTTCTGCCTCTACTGCTAGGGTTTCTGATTTTCCCGAACCGCCTACTTTCAATTCCTCAAGCCAAATGATGTTAAGCTCCATGTTGGCAGCCTCAGCCGGAGGTATAAACATGGAGGTTCCCAACTTCGGGGGAGGCGACCCAGCAGAGTTTCGTTGTTTTGAGGCAATGATAGATGGCTGCATCAAGCCCTTAGTCCACCTCAGCGAGCTACAAAAATACTTCATCGTCAGGTCGAAGTTAAGTGGTCAACCCAAGAAGGATGTCCTAGGGCTTGAGCATGATGGTAGCCCCTTCACTAAGGCCATGTCCACCCTCAAGAAGCTTTATGGTGATATTGGTGTCCTAATACGTGCCAAGATTGACCAGATTACGTCGTGGCCGAGACTGACAGCCAGTGACTCTAAGGGGATGGTAGAGTTTGCAGCAGCGGTGTCAGCGTTGGTCACGCAACTCAAGAGTGCACCAGAAGGCCAGGCGGAACTGAATGCCAACTCTACAGCTTGCATCCTGTACAGTCGCCTGTCACATATCCATCAGACGGCCTTTTTGAAGGCTATGAAGGCCAGAAATGTCAACAACTTTTCTCTGCTTGACATCAACATGTGGCTGCAAGACACGGCGGCCATAGCCAGAAAGAAGGTGCAGCTCAGCGAGAGTATTAAGGTTGAACTCCCCCCAACCAACCGGGACCGCCGCAGAAAAGGTGCAGCTGCCTACCACATGGAACTGGCTGGAAAGACTACCAGCAATCCGCCAAAGGGCGCATCTGCCTATAAGGCTTACCGAAGTGATGGCAAGAAACCCTTCCGGAAGAGTTGTCCCCACTGCCGGGAAGAACACTGGCTCTCTCGATGCGACAAATTCAGCGATCTTACGATGGAACAGCGCATGAAGTGGATTAAGGCTGACAAACGCTGCTGGCAGTGTGCACGCCTGCACAAAAACGGAAAGGAGTGCGACCTACGCAAGCCTTGTCGCCGATGCGACAAGATGCACCTGACCGTTCTCCATGATATGATGGAGCAACCAGGGTATGGAGTGTACTATTCCTCCTTCGACCCAAACCTGTCTGTCTTTTACGGGGATGGAAACCCTTGGCTACCTGACGTCAGCATGAAGATTTTGCCAGTCAAGCTCTATGCCAACGGTCGACAGCTGGAGACGTACTGCTTGTTGGACGATGCTGCCAACTTCTCCTTGATGCTTAGCAAAGCTACCGAGGCACTTGGCCTCAAGGGTGAGAGCACCCAGATGCCTATTGCAACCGCCAGGGAGGAATGTACCCCCTGCAAGGGCGTGATAGTCTCGGTCGATCTTGCACCAATCCACGACCAAGATTCACGCATCACCATTTCCAATGTCTTTTCGTCTTCCATGTTGAGGCTTTCAGAGCATTCTGTTCCTGCACGAGATTTGCAAAGGAGGTGGCCGCATCTGCGGGGTCTTCCACTGCAGGAAGTCAAGGAGGCACGGCCATTATTGCTGATCGGCAGTGATCGCCCAGATCTGATTGTTCCCATTGAGAGTCATTTTGGTCCCGAAGGTGCACCAGTGGCTGTGCGCACCAAACTTGGGTGGGCTGTTCAGGGCCCCATTCTGAAGTCCAGGCGCAAGAATGAAGTAAACTTCTTGTCTGTACTACCACCCATGGAAGCCGACAGAGTTCTCCACGAGAATGTTTGTAAGATGTGGCAGCACGATGCGCAGATGTATCTTGATCGAAAACAAGCCACTCGATCCAAGCAGGACCAGCGAGCGGTTGATCTCCTTGAGGCAAAATCTACCTATGTAAATGTAGATGGAATTGACCGTGTCGCAACCCCCCTCCTGTGGACACGTGACAACGAGGTACTTACCTGTCCGGCAAGTACAGTGTCACCTGCTCTGAAACGGAATGAGCAACGTCTCCAGAGAGATCCAGCACTCGCTGTTGAGCACTCCAAGAAAATCCGGGAACTGAAGGAGGCAGGACTCGTCCGCATGCTCACTGCTGAGGAGAAAGAGAGAAACCACGAGCGGCATTGGTATATACCCCACCATGTTGTTCGGCAGAATGGGAAGACAAGACTGGTTTTCAACTGTGCGTTCCCGTACCGGGGAGAGTCTCTGAACGACCACTTGCTTCCTGGGCCTACCCTGGGTTCACCGCTGGTTGGAGTGCTAGTACGATTCAGACAGCATCAAGTAGCTGTGTCCGGTGACATTAAAGCGATGTTTCACTGTGTGCGCACTTTAGAGTGTGACCGATGCATGCTTCGGTTCCTGTGGAGGGATTTGGACCCTGATGCCGAAATGGAGGAACTGGAGTGGAACGTACTCCCCTTTGGCACCACATGCAGTCCATGCTGTGCCACTTTCGCCCTGCAGAAGCATGTGCAGGACCGGTTTCCAGATCCAGACATTGTCAGAAGTGTTATGAATTCATTCTACGTTGACAACTGCCTAGATGGCAAGTCCAGTGTCCTAGAAGCGAAAGACCTAGTTGGAAAACTATGTCAAGCGCTCGGCGCTGGAGGATTTCCCATTGTGAAATGGGCCAGCAACTTTGCGGAAGTGGTCAGAGACCTTCCACAGGAAGCCCGCTCCTGCAGTACTGAGAGATGGCTGAGTTCAAGTTGTGATTCACCTGAGGAAGCAGCCTTAGGACCCCACTGGAATTTCCAGCACGACACACTCCGATACAAACTCGAACTTCGTGAGTGGCCGGTCCTCACTCAAAGAGCTGTTCTAAGTGATGTGATGAGATGTGCCGGGAAGGACCCCCTTGGTTACCTCATGCCATATATGGTGAGGGGAAAGATGATCGTTCAGGAGCTTTGGAAGAGACCATGGGGCTGGGATGAGGAGATCCCCGACGAGGGCAAGGATGGCTTCCGTGCCCAACACATGAGATGGCGCAAAGAAATCAATGATCTCCCTCTTGTATACCTGCCTCGGTGCTACCTTCCCCCACACTTTGATCCAGCAAATGTGTCCTATCAACTGCACGTGTTCACCGACGCTTCCGAAAGGGCCTATGGGTCCGTTGCTTATCTTCGAGCCATTGCTAAGTCAGGAGAGGTGTGTGTCAGGTTTGTCATGGCACGTTCCCGTTTGGCACCAAAGCGTGTGCAAACTATTCCCCGATTGGAACTTCAGGCTGCTCTTTCTGGTGCTGAACTGACCGAGCTTCTCGAGGATGAGTTGAGGTTGAGCCTTTCCGTCACTTGTTGGAGTGACAGCACGACAGTTTTGAGCTGGATTACCTCAGAATCTTGTCGGTACAACCGTTTTGTCGGTGCCCGCATCGCTGAGATTCAAAGACTCACAGACCACACTATCTGGCGGTATGTAGACACCGCCAAGAACCCTGCAGATGACCTGACCCGTGGATTGATGCTCAGCGAGTTGACCACCGAGAGTCGGTGGTCTGCTCCACCCTTCCTCTCTGGTCCTGAAGAGGATTGGCCAAGCTTGCCATCGCACATGCAGCAGGATGATGGCGAAGTTGAGCTGAAGGGCAGTCTTTTTACTGCTTTTACCCTCGGCAATCGAGGAGAGGTTCCAGAGATTGAAGCGTCTCAGTTTGCTTCCTGGGATGACCTGGTTGAGGCATATGGACGCATTCTGTGCGAGGCTGAGGATGAAACTAAGCCAGATTTCCTCAGCGCTGACCAACGGATGGAGACTGAACAAGCCCTCTTCGGAAAGGTACAAGCTGAAAGCTTTCCAGTTGATCTTGCACCTCTTACAGCTGGCAAGCCTGTTCCAAGAAATAGTCGCCTGGCAAAACTTGCTCCTGAAATCGACAAGGATACCCAGTTGATCCGGGTTGGAGGGAGACTCCGTCGAGCGGAGTTGGACATTGATGTGAAACACCCTGTCGTCCTTGACTGCAAGCACCCGATAGTACAACTGCTGATCAAAAATGCTGACGAACGTCTTGGGCATCCTGGAACTGGTACTGTGCTTGCAGATATGCGTCGACGCTTCTGGTTGTTGCGAGGACGCCAGTCCATCAGAGGTCTACAAAGCAGATGCACCGGATGCCTTAGACAGCGTGGTCAACCTTCAGTGCCCAAGATGGCGGATATGCCACATGCTCGTCTGCGAATTGGCAAGCCAGCATTCTACTCCACGGGGGTAGACTGCTTTGGCCCCTACACCGTTACCATGGGGAGACGAAGTGAACGAAGATGGGGTATAATATGGAAGTGCATGACCACAAGAGCCGTCTACTTAGATTTGCTTGAGTCTCTTGATGCCGACGCCTTTCTTTTGGCGTTCAATCGGTTCCGTTCACGACGTGGCGCACCTCATGAATTGTTGTACGACAATGGGACTAACTTCAAGGGAGGTCTGTCTGAACTGAGGAAGGCATTCAGCGATATGGCACCTGACCTTCAGGAGAGACTTGCCAAATACAAAGTCAATTTCAGGTTCAATCCTCCCTCTGCACCACACTTCGGTGGGACCTGGGAGAGAGAGATTCGGTCAGTGAAAACTGCCTTGTACGCCACCCTGGGTGATCGGTCAGTTAGCGCTCCCGTTCTCTATACTTGCCTGGTTGAGGTAGAAGCCTTGCTGAATTCTAAGCCATTGACTTATGTGTCATCAGACATTGCTGATCCAGATCCCATCACGCCTTTCATGCTTCTCATGGGGCGGCGGGACCATGCCCCGCCACAGGTTGTCTACCCGGAGCGCGACGTGCTTAGTCGGCGACGCTGGCGCCAGTGCCAAGCCCTGATTCAGAAATTTTGGAAGGAGTTTGTTCAGTCCTATCTGTCGGCCATGCAAGCCCGCCAGAAGTGGCGCAGTGAGACCGACAACCTGTCCGTCGGTGATGTAGTTCTGATGGCTGATCCGCAGCAACGACGTGCCTCTTGGCCTCTGGCTAAGGTCACTGAGGTACTACCTGGTACTGATAATCGCGTTCACACCGTAAGGTTGCAGGTCGGAGATCGCATCTACACCCGGCCAGTGGCACGCCTGATCCGGCTTTCTTCTGAAACAGCCCTTGGCGGCAATCCTGAAGCTGCCACTCTGCCTGAGCCTGATGAAACCTAGTCCTTGTTACCGCAGAGTACACCCCCTGTGACCATTCATGGGGCGGCCTCTTGGTCAAGCCTGTTGTTACTTGTTACTATTTCTTACTAACCAGTTACTGATTCTTAACTTTGCCTGTTAACTTCCACCATCTGTGCACCCATGCTAAAGCCAGCGATATGTAAACTATTGCGCACAGTTTAGGGGCAGCTATGTTGCGACTTTAATATTTCAATAGCGCCACCATGCGGACTACTGCAGCAAACCGACATAGCAACCGCGGGAATTGGAGGGCATTGGGCTGGTTACGGATGGTGAGCAAGATTATTTCCAGATTAAACCCAGTTTCATGTTTATTGTTAACTGTAAAGCCTGTGATTTTCCCAGTTATTGATCCCTAGTTATTGATTGCACTGTTTGAATCCACATATGTAAAGATTTCAATTGTTTGGGATGGGCGAAAATAGGCCACGCCACACGAGGTGTCGGAAATAGGCTCCTATTCTTCCAGTTTATTTCCATGATGATTTAGATGTTGAATAGTTTGCCCTCTATTTATGATTACCCTTATTGTATTTTCCAGAACGATCTCCACAATGATCAGTCCCTCCACCGGCCTAATTTTCCCCACTTGTCTTCCACTGAGGATGATGGGACATTTGAATTTGAAATAAAACAGGATTAATCCCGCCTGCCCAGCCAGTGCTCACAGAACACACAATCTAAGGACTCCCCTTGTGTCCTTATTTTTCCTTTACACCACTATATACATTTCTGAAAGGTACATAAAACGCAATAATAAATTTACATCACCCTGACCTGAATAGTTTTGTTCAGTAATGGCCGCTTTATATGTGAGACATTCTGGAAAAATGAGACATAATACAAGTGATTTTTAGGAAAACTGATTTGCATCTCTCATTGTTTAGGAGAATACAGAACTGGAAACTTTAAAAGCCTTTTTCTCAGTATTTGATTTTTTATCCCCTGGCTTTTTTGCCACAATGGGATATTGCGATGGCATATTCCTTCCATGTGTCTGTATGTATATGCCTGGCAATCATGGACAATCCCACCAGAGTGTTGGTTTTTTTAAATGACTATTATTATTTTAATATTGCATTGTTTTGCAGTGGAACGGAAGCCGAACATCTTATGACTAGCTGTATATAACTGCTATTGCTCATGTCATGCCACATTCAAGCCGTGGATTCAGATGATCCCGATAACGACCAATTCCAACACCTACGCATCCGCCGCCATGCCATTTGGCAGGACACTTGTAGAACACTGAAGATGGCTAACTGAAAGTAACTTTTATCGGTGAACCAGCTGTCGATGTTGGCGGTCCTTGCGAGAATTCTTTTCAGAGGTTCTCAGATCCATTTTTGACAATGGATACTTGTTTGAGGGGGAGGATCATCGAAAAGTCATCGTGCATAATGTGGGTGGCCTGTGCAGCAGAGACTTAAAAATTGCAGGTCAGTTGCATCTTTGCCTCAATTGATGTTAAGCCTTAACCTTAATGCTTAATTTTAGGGCGTAGGGCCTTGGTTTTTGCCAAAAGGGTAACAACCTTGGCATTGGAACCCTGCCATTTTCAATGCCTTGCTCTTGTCCCACAGATTTTTTTGGGAGGGAGGGGGTTGGGGTGATATCTTTTACCATTGTGTGTACATCAGTTTGAATTCTTGCTTTTCTGCAATCGTATAACTCATGTCAGGAAAGCTCTCTAGGTTATTTCATACCAAATCATCTACATTTCAGAGTGCAACTCAGATGTGGTTGAACTTTTTTTCTAAATATACCCTGCCTGTATCATGAACACAAGCATAATTGTAGTGCCAAACTGCAAGTGGTTTCTGAGATTTGACCCCTTAAATGTAATATATGACCCCTTACACATAATTGCGTTGGTTGTTTTTTTTTGAAGTGATATTTCAGAGGCACATTATAAAAAAGCATCCCGTTTTTACCCAAACGTTGCACAGGTCAAATGGCTTCAGGCAGTAGCCGTGTCACTCGTAAACTGCTCTTATTTTCTCGTCCACACAATGGGAGACTTTCCATTCTCCGTAAGTCACCGAGAGAGGGCGCTCAATACCGGGTAAACTACACGAAAAAAAATTGTCTGAAGTTACTAGTACATTGCGTATCGACGTCGGTTTTCGACTTGGCTTGCTGTAGAAAATCACCCGCTTCTCGCACAGGATTATGCCAAATACTCCGTGTGCTGTGCCGACGTGCTCAGGAAGAGGTGGACATGAATTTCCAAAGGAAAGAAAGAGGTGTAATGCTTGGCGAGTGGCCATACGACGGGTGGAAGATGGCACAGGTCGGTCATGGTGGCCGTCTCTACGTGATGTTGTCCGCTCGAAACACTTCATAACATCAGACTATCAACAGTTTGGAAAGTCTGGTAAGTTACTTTTTGTCGAGATTTAGGGCTTAACGGGCCTCCCATACTCTAAATCAACCATTTATGATTATTAAACCCATGGACTTTGGTAGCCTCATAAATGTGGCCTATTTACTGGACTGCCTCCGTAAACATAGGCCACACATCCACATGTACAAAAATCGTGTCGACTTTGCCAAATTTTGATTTTCACATTTAGGCTTAGTTTGTATGATTTTTTTGCTTTAGAAGCATACTCACCCTCTTTACAGGCTAATCAGAAAGTGCTGCTTTTTTCAGATGTCTAATTTTTGTGAAATTTCATGTTGAAATTTTGATACGCAAACGTGTAAAAATGAATCTGGAAATTTCACGAAAAATATACATCTGAAAAAGGCAGCACTTTCTGATTAACCTATAAAGAGGGTGAGTATGCTTCTAAAGCAAAAAAAAACCTACAAACTAAGCCTAAATGTGAAAATCAAAATTTGGCAAAGTCGACACGATTTTTGTACATGTGGATGTGTGGCCTATGTTTACGGAGGCAGTCCAATAAATAGGCCACATTTATGGGGCTAGGACTTTGGCAACGTTAAAGTTTACTAAACGTTGACGTTTAACTACGACCTGATTTCCGTACATATAAGGCTATATGATGTAGATGTAGTAGGCCTAGTAGTAGAAGTAGTGGGGTTTCAATCCAGCTCTGGGAAAGATTCCCACATCTGGCCATCTCTCATTTTTCCCTTCAGTGACCTATCAGCCATCAGAAAGTGATAATATGTCCGAAAGAGTCAAATTTAGCAGATAACTTATTGAAGTATTTATTGAGAAAACACTTAAAACTGTTCAGACCAGTCTCATAGGGTTTGTGCACAGGGTGTCAAGTAATGGCCAGTTATGGGAATCTTTCCCGGACGGATTACCAACGCCGACCCAACCATGACCAACTCGGAACCAACCATGAACAACTCGGACCCATTGTGAGGACATATGTTTTCAATCAGTCGATTGGAAAATGTTTGACCAACATCATTGACAATGACAATGATCCCGCATAAAGACACACTCTCGGCACTCATAAGATACAACCTGAATTGATCACCTAGATTTGGAGACCAGACAGTTTTAATAGCTCAATGGATGAGCCAGTTGCACATTATTAAAGTATTATCAACTTAGTATTCTTGGATGGGAAACCGTTCATGTATAGTCCTTGGTTGGGTGGCTGACTGAGATCAATGTGGCATTAGTCTGAGGCATATAAAAGGCCCATTAAGTGTCATCAGTAGGGTCGCGTCTTTTGGATGGGACGTTATAGCTTGAGGTCCCATCCTCATGAATGTAAAAGGACCCAGGATACTTATCGTAAATTAGCAGGGGCTTGCCCTTGTGTCTCTGGTCCACTGAATGCAGGATGGCAGCCCCAATTAACGTGAGTGTGCCATCCCCTTCCCTTCATCAGCGCCTTAGATTGGCTATACCAGACATTGCTGCACTATATAAATACTGTTATGAGAATTGGAGTAAAACTAAAATGCAGCAGAACGATTATCAAAGTGGGGGTGGGGGGGAGGAGGAGTTGTGAGACCATCAACCATTTTAGTGATGCTCACTGTGTAGGACCTGTCAAAAATGACGGGTATGTCTCCCAGTCAAAAAAGCGGAGGGGGATTGCCCCCCCCCCCCCTCTGGCCCCGCTGCCGTTGATTAGAGTTTGGTCTCCCAAGCTATGAATCACCTATCGTGAGACTACATTTTGCATATTTACCCCTCAAAAAGCCTACCAAACATACATACATAAAATGTTCATAAATACAGATTTCTTTTTTATTTTTGCAGGTGTCAAACTGCAACGAAGAAAGTTGAAACCAGATGCTGTTCCAAGCCAGTTCTCATGGACAAAGCAACCCACTTGTCTCAAGGACGAACCGCTATACAGAACGCTGTACAAAGAGAGAGGGTACCTGTGGTGGGAATTCTGATGAGCTGTCTCTGGATGTTGATGTTGATCTTGACATTGCAATGGTGGTAAATGTGAACAGCGAAGAACAAGTACATGACTAGGCCATCCAAACAGACCTAAGTATCAGTATCAACATCAGTATCTGCACATACACAGACTGACTCTGAGACTAATGTACAGGGATTTACAATTCATGACTTCAAGAACGACTCCAAAGGAGTTCACTACTACTCTGGGCTTCAAGACTATCTCAACCTCATGGATGTACTTGCTTCGCTGGGGCCATGTGCCTTTGCGTTAACATATGCTAATGGAAAAAGGCCATCCTTATCTGTATCAACTATTTTTGACTATAATTAAATGCAGGAGATATACAGCCAATTTTGAATTGAGTCGAATGTTTAAGATCAGTGAATCGGAGGTATACAGTTTCTTTGCAACCTGGATTAGATTCATGCATCTTCAGTGGAGAGAGAGATATCTGGCCAAATAGTGTCTTGGTCAGCTTTTATGCTCCGTCTGATTTCAAGGCCAAGTTTCCAAGCACTCGGACTATCCTAGATGGCTTTGAATTCCCAGTCAAGAAGCCTAAGGCAACCAAAACCGCAACACTGCTAAAGCACTGGTTGGTATATCACCAGGAGGTTTGTGTCCCACATGTCCGGTGCATATGGTGGTTCGACCAGTGACAGACAAATGATCGAGGGGGGTGGATTAATTAATAAAGTCAACAAAGGCGATTCAATAATGGCTGATAAAGCTTTTGATGTACAGGACTTGTTTGCACAAGTGGATGTAGTGAACATTCCTACTTTCTTCAAGAACAAGAACGGAATGACAGGTGAATCTGTTGTAAGAGAAAGAAAAATATCTAGCACAAAAATTTCATGTTGAAAGGATTATTTGACTTTGGAAAGCATATCAAATATTGACACAGCCACTGAATCACACAGAGACAATTCTGTTTTCAGACATTGCATTTATTTGTTTTATGCTTGTTAACTTCAGGACATGTATTATTTCAAGATAGTCACATACCATGGGCCTTATTCAGAAGGAAGCCATTTTGGTCGTGTTCCCTGAATGTATTTCATAAATTGTGAACTGTTGAATGGAATGGTGCTAGACTATTTATTCACTATAGCCTCTATTTCAATTTTTTTTAATTTGGCTTCAAATGTTAGGGCATGGTTGATCACAAATTCTTAATTATTCATCATAGCAGACTGGTATTAATTTATTAATTTTATGTCATTGCTTTCATTTCTGTTCGCAAGTTCCAAAAATGAAGATTTAACCTCACTTCCAATTTCATATGGCCGAATCGTGAATGAAGCCCATAACTCGTAGGGTAATAGGACAAAACAAATTTAATACATTTTAATTAAGGATTAAAATTAATCTGAAATAGCTTTTCACTACAAATTTGAGAGGTTTAACTTTTTGATTGCTGGCAAGAAGCGCATGTATGACATTATGCAGTATTTAAAAAAGGCCGACAAATATTTCTGCTTCCGATTTCATGGCATTTGAAATAGGCTAGGTAGGTAGGGAATGTTTTTGTTTGCAATTAGTTTGTTTTGATCACATATAGGTGTCTGCGTGTTGCCGGCTGAGGGTAAAAGGTAGTAATTGATGGTTTTGGATTTTTTTTTTTCTTTTTTTTTCCAAAACAAAATTACGGTCGGGCTGCCAAAATAGGGTAGGTAGGGTAAATGGACGCATAATTATGTTTTTTTGGCCTAATTATAAGAGGTCACACTTCTCACAAAGAAAACAGAATACATGTATACAAGTATAATATGGTGTGAGGGTTGGAAGGCGATATTAGTTCCCCTCGGTTTTGGAAATTGAGAAAATATATTGGCGGCTATTTCCATATACAATACCTGGTCACTATAAGGTGTGCCGTGCATCTAAAAAAAGTAAAACAAATAGTATTGTCATACCTCAGTCTTTATACTGTATTTTCATTGGCCCAGGACGATCACCTGACCGGGCGATAAATATGCATGGCACACTCCCGTTGTATATCACATTGTGATATCACATGCATGTAGACTAGTCCCCGCCCCACAGTCCAAACCATTATGCGCGGACCGCGTTTAAACCAGACTATACTTGTACCCACTGGTACCCCGCAGTACTTTCACGTTTCACAATATAATGTTTAGCAGTGTGGGAGCAGTGCATTTGCAGACGATATTTACTTTAATTTGGCGGCCAGCGACGAGCGGCATTAAGATTATGTTTACGTTTTGACTGACTCTAGTAACGGTGCCTATGCCTTCAGAACTTCGGAAATGCAGAGCTGACACAGTTAGTTTTTTCGTATACGATCCTCATCAGCCTCAACATGTCAGCTGAGCCCGGAGGCACAGATTCTCCGCCCCAAAAAAGGTTTTTGAGCCGCTCCAAACAACAAATAAAAGATTTAGCTTTTGAACAAGACTCATCGAACACCAAACGTTGTACCGACTACGCAGTCTGCGTCGTACGAGAATTCTGCGAAGAAACGGGCAGGGACACTCGTTTCGAGACACTTCCTGTGAAAGAACTGGACAGTCTTCTTGAAGACTTTTTTTTTTAAACGTTAACAAGAAGAATGGGACATCATACCACAGAAATGGCCTAAGTGGAATCCGTTATGGAATAAGCCGACACCTTAAAAAGCATCGGGGGATTGACATTGTAGCAGATCCAATTGTGTGGCATCGGAAACTGCCTACAGAGCAAGGCAAGTGGAACTGAAAAAAACTGGATTCGGTCAAGTCAACCATTATCCCCCGATCGAAGAGGAAGATTTGGCAAAACTGTACAATTCTGTCGATGTTACTGATGCTCGTAGTCTTCGTAAGAAGGTGCAATTTAACATTATGTTTTACCTATGTCGCCGCGGTCGAGAAAACATGAGAGAGTTGACCAAAGAGCACTTTGTTCTTGGAAAAACATCAAGTGGACTACGATGTGTTCGCCAGGTCATAGACGAGCAAGACAAAAATCACAACTCAAAGGATAATCCAGAGGAGGTAGCGACTGATGGCATCATGGTAGAACAACCAGGTTGGTTTTACCGTTTGTAATGAATTCTGACAAATTTTCCTAGGCCTTAGCTTTCAGAATTATGATTTGATAGTCGTACTACTCCCTACCCATTCTAAAAAGTGCATTTCCATAATTTTATTAGGCCCTACCCAATGGAACAATTTTAGTTTAATAGGGCCTACCTTCTCTTTTGACCCCATGCACAAACTCTGCGGATCTCGTCTAAAAAAATATGTTTTTCCTAAAAAGAAAAAAATAATCCACTCCAAAATCATGCTTTCTTATCAGAATTTCACTTTTTTTTATGGCTGATAAGCTGTAATAAGGAAAGTATAGTAGGGGTATTAACTTGGACCCAACTTATCGCCTTTTTTAACATTTTGGAAATGGTCTGGCGATAGTGAGGTCCAAGCTAATGCCGCGACCTGGACAACATCATCCTGTCACTGTCCCAAACCAACATTTTCCAACAAAAAGCATCAGATTTCACCTTCAAAACGGCCTCCAAATTACTAGATATGCCACCTGAAGTACAAGTAGACATCGATGATTAAGATGGTTGTACTTAAGTTTACTTACGATCCGGAAGAAAAGTGAAATTTTCCGTTCAATTCTGAAGACCCCCTCTGCCTAGGTTGTCGTTGTTGTGCTCACGTTCAAAACTGCATGATACGCTGTGTGTACGCGTTCCCAATAGACCGCTTGCAGACGCGATCGATAACTGACGCGCGAAGGTGCGCGACGCCATGTTGTGGGACAAATGTGCATTGATAGATATACGCTTGTCCCACAACATGGCGTCGTGCGCCTTCGCGCGACGATAATCGAACGCGTCTGCAAGCGGTCTATTGGGTAATGGTGTCTGACCTCGACCTCATGCAAAGCTCGTGACGGCGCGCTTGCGCACAATGCACTGCATGCACGGCAGATTCCCCTGCGCCGCGCCGACGACTGTTTCCTGATGAAGAGTGCTGTGTAAGTTCGCGGTAGCCAAGATATTATCAGAGACATCAAATTCATCACTACTGATGTTAACTGATTCTCAGCTACAAGCTATTTCAGCTGATGAAGACACTGAGCCTTGCTCTATGGGACAGTCCATCGAGAGTCAGTCAGTCAGTATCCACCACTCAATGCAACAGTGGATGCCTGCTTTCACTCCAAATGTCAGTCATTCCAGAGTGAACATCATTGTTAATTATATTTCCCAAATTCAAAGTGAAATTGTTGCTGAAGCAACTGTTTTAAAGATCATTAAATTATCAATTTGTGTGCCAGTGGGTCAACATGGACAGTATTGCTGTTTGAAAAGTATTCTATCCATTGTGTATTTGCTGAAGTTTCACAGGTGCAAAATTTAAGAACTTTGAAAGGATATATTTATGTGAAAAGGAAGAGAGTGTAACAAGTTTGCTAAATTCTTGTTTATTCGTCAAATGTGTCATAGACATCATTTAATATGTACTTATCTCCAGAATTGACAAAATATGATGATACTGGATTTTGGTGTTCTATCAGTTGGACTTTCCATGGAGAACTCGGCACCGGGCCTTTGCATTATTTGAAATTCACTGTATTTATTGTATTAATTCATAGTATTTATTGCTGAAGTTTCACAGGTGCAAAATTTAAGAACATTTTAAGGATATTAGTGTGAAAAGGAAGAGAGTGTCACAAGTTTGTTTAAATTTTTTTTTTTCATTAAATGTGTGATAGACAAAATTTAATGTTTAGGCCCCTACTTATCTCCAGAATTGACAAATATGATGATACTGGATTTCGGTGTTCTATCAGCTGGACTTTCCATGGATAACTCGGCACCGAGCCTTTGCATTATTTGAAATTCACTGTATTTATTGTATTAATTCATAGTATTTATTGTTATTAAGTGGCTGTCAAGTTGTTATCAAAAAAATGGCTATCGCCGTTTGATATAAATTTCTTTCTTTTAAGGGTCTGCATCGTTGTCACTACAAACCAGGTTTTTATTCATTGTCCCTACCACTATAAAAATGCCAGGGGATAAGATTTTTTTTTATTAAACTTGTAAAACCTTTACCCCAAATTTCCCTGAACTTAAGCTTGTTTTAATGCCCCTACATCTATATATGTTAAAAGAAAATTTTTCAAAGATTCCTTCAGTTTGCCACCCATAATTTCTCTTCGAAAAACAAGTAAAACACATCATCAAGACAGAGGTATGACAAAACAGTTGTTGACTGATAAGATGTGGGATATGAAATTTTGAACACCCTCGGGGACGCATAGCACCCTCGGCTTCGCCTCGGGCGCTATGCGTCCCTCGGGTGTTTAAAACGTCATATCCCACATCACATCAGTCAACAACTGTTAAATATTTCTCTGTTTATATAACTTTAAAGTGTGGAGAAAATTTCTCATCCCTAAGAACAGTTTTCATAGCTATTTATTTTCCAAAAAAAATAAAAAACCTAAAAGTTTATCAGAAAATGGAAGAGTTGTAACCCCTTATTTTGGTGTCCTTATTCTTTTACTGAATTGATAGATAAAAAATAATTTCCGTGTCCGTCATAAATTATCTCCGTTATTTCTTACCATGTAAATGAGAAACAATGAAAACATCAAAGGTAATAAGAAGCTTATTCAATCATCCAAATTTCTCAGGATTCATGGTTGTTTGAGGAAGTTTTCAAAGATAAATGCCTAGGGAGCTGGGGTTAGAGACAAAATATGAAGCAATACTAATACATGTACTAGCAGTAATAGCCCATACAAAAGTATGGTTTGAAATTAAGTGTACATGAGATCTACATTGTACACGTACATGTATATTTGTGATGTACATTTACATGTACATGCAGATATCAGGAATAAAAGATGTGTTTTAGTAATATCAGTGTTATTTATTCCTCCATCTGTGTAAAGCAAAATGTGTACTCGTCAGTTTCCCTGTAAAAATACTTGTCTAATACTGCTTTCCTAAAGTGATGATCAAAGAAGTACTGCAATTTTGTTGTTGCTTCTTCGATGAATTTATTATTGCGTTGAATTCGCATTATTCTCACATTTTTAAATGTCCACACTATAAAATCAAACCATTTTCAGTCGGTACAGAGCATGTTCCCCTGAACTTGATAAAAGTAGTTATGATTCTCCTTCAGAGCCAATTCATCAAAGACATCATATTACAAATAAGGAACATCTGCTGGAGATATTTCAAGATCTTACAAGTGTATGGACATTTGACCTCGGTGATGCCCTCCCTGCCTACAAGGCTATCTGGGGAACAACCCAAGAATGAGTGCTCTGCATATACGTGTATGCCACAACTATCTACCCTGTTACCTGTTTCCGTGAAAAAGTCTTTTACTGCAATCGTATTTTTCCCATGTTCGGTGTATTTACTAGTGAAAGTCTCAGTTTTGGTGAGTGACTGTGCCATTTTAGTCAAATCTGTTCTGGGTCCTGCCTTACAAATTCTGCCGAAGTTGGAGGCATGTAGACGCTTCGTTCTCTCTTCTGTCCACACTTTATTTGCACTCTGCCCTCGTGTAGCCTCTTCGGTCATTGCACGGGTTTCCTCATTGATGGTAATCACATCCAAATCATCAAGAAAGTACTCTTCAAGTGTTTTCTCTAGATAATCATGGTCAGTATTGATGGACATGATGTTTGCTTGTGCATATACTTGCCGGATTGGAAGATCTTCTGTTTGAGAGTTGAGCCAGACGCTTCTGAATGAATCTCGATATCCAGGCCTATTTCTGAATTCAACCGGCCTGGGATCAAAGTCCTTAAGATCATGTAGGTTGTTTTTGTTTGCGTAGCTTCAAATCCTTCATCAAAACTGGTGTGCCAGTATATTTCTTTTGATAATGAAATGTTTGCAGCTTTGCAGTACATGTGTCCTTGGTTAAGATGCCCTTTTTTCTTTTAGAAAGAGCAAAGAGTACTTCAGCTACATGCTTGCAGTGGGCCTCGTGTCCCAAGCCAACAGCACATTCACATTGGGACTCCATGTTTGTTTATCTTCATATCAACCTTCATCTTGGTTGCAGTAGCGTACTGACTGCAGAAATTCCCCATAGTAGAGTGCCTCTGTCTTCTCTTGCAAATCTTGCCCATGAAGCTTGTGAAACGTTGTGATGTTATCTGCTGTTACTCATGGAAACTGAAATTTGACAAGATGACAGTTGTGTAAAAAACAGAACAATTCAGCAGAACTCAAAAGAACAAATATCATAAGCCATTGTTTTGCAATCTATACGAAGAAAAGAACCACAATGCAAACCTGAGTGCGACCAGTAGACCTAAATCTTACCACGTCAAGGCAATGAACAAATGCCAAGCCACTCTTTTGTCGGATATCCATGGAACCAGATAACGAAATGGGGAGGCTGTTTTGATTTAAAATGATGGCAATGTTTTCTGTTTGGCTATTTGCATGCTTTATCCCGACACATGAGGGTGCTGCTATGATTGCATTCCACAATGTGTTTATAGCATAATAAAACACCTCCAGATTTGCGTTTAAGAAGTGATGGTATCAGTAGAATTTAAAAATCCTATTTTTCAGGTGTAATATATACACATACCTTACTGTCGGTGTTGATGTCCTTATAGTCTGTTGATTTAGGTGTGGTCATCTGAAAACCCCTCTCATCTTCACATTGGATACACATATGGCCAAACTTGAAATTCCTGTCGTAACTTTCCAGTCTGAAATCAAAGCATTTGGGAATTTAGATAACAAAATTTTCAAAAGCCTTAGCCATAGTGTGTGGGCTAGACTAATGATAGGCTTAGTTGCTTAGGCCAGCTAGACCAGTCTAACTAAACAGACAAACGTTATTCCCATTTATAATGTTAAAAATGGCTAATTTTAACTTGAACAATTTTGATTTTTGTAAGATGACCACTATATGACACATTATCAATTTTCAAATGAGATGTCTAAAGAGTCATTACATGCCAACTCAACATATGGTGCACACCATCACCTCTTGGATTTTTTCCTTTGGTGAACTGAAAGAAACTTAGAAGAAATGCAAATTCTGAAAATTTGGGGTCTCTACAACTTTTCGTTCGTGCGCAACAGCATTTTGAAATTTGAGGTGGGCGGGGCGGGGCCGGGACAAAAAGCACGTCGCGTCACGAAATTCAATGTTTAAAGGGCCATATATTTAAAACTATACCCCCAGACATTTCAAACTTGGTAATCTGGGCTACTTTTTTTTGCTGTACATTTTAAATATTTAAACAGAAAGAAAGTAGCTTAATTCATGTTTAAGTTAGAGGGGCCCCAAAATGGCCAAAAACTCATCTGGACCAATGCTCGGGGGGGGGGGGGGGGGTGTAAGTCAAAATCGAAAATATTTTTTTCACCAAATTTTTTGTAATGCCTTCCAACGCTATGTATAAGTTCTGGTGTTGGTACGCAACACAACACATCTACAAATGGGATGTTACATTTATCCTTTCTTTGTGGCCCATAGAGAGTATTTGTTGATTCCGTCCTGTACATGAAGCGGACATACACATCCTCATGAAGTTGTGATACATCTTCTACAATAGCAATGTACCAAACATCATCATATACCACACTAACATATTTTCCTGGGTTGAGGTCAGCTGCTACAATTGGTGCATGATGAGTTTCCTGCATTGATACAGTTGCAGATATTAATGTTGATTTATCATTAGTTGAGAGGCGGTACATCCGTAGCTCACGCTCATCAAATCTGTGATGACTACGAGACCCTGATACAGTTTTTGCATTTTCCATGCGTTGTTTGATGTCGTTGTTATGGGTCTGAATTTCTTCTGAAGAAATTTATAAGAAACTAGAGATATGTTTGTGGACAAACATAAGCTGTTTCGGATGTTTGGAAATCCTTTTTGTGTGAAAGACATTAAAACATGACCAGAGTGCATGGAAAGTTTCACCCCAATAGGACGATACTTGCAGCGATAAAGAGCCTGAAATGATGCAATGTTAGGGCGCCCTCACAAGACAACTGATGACGTAATAATGACGTCACCTATATTTTCCACAAAGTATTTTCCAGTATGGACGTATGCAAAGTTAAATTGGACCTACACTTGTAAAGTTATAGGGCTGCAAAGAATGCAAAGTTAGGGCGCCCTCACATGATGAACGATAATGCAATCATGCTGTGACACATCCCGGCCCAGCATAGGTGTAAGCAAAATTAGAAATTCTTGAAATTTGTTAAGTTCTGATAAATCATGATTATTCCAACTCACATACCGAACTACAAGTTTGTGTCACATTTACGTAAGTCGCATAAAATAATGTGTGGCATCATGACCGTACCGCGTAGAGTACGTGGGGACCTGACTCCAATTTCATGGCGCTGCTAAGCACACGATTTTCTGTTAACGGAGCCTTAGTCTATTTCACGGAGGCCGCAAGCAGTAAGCACAGCGAAGAGCTTGCTAACTTGACAAGCAAAATTTGCTGAAGTCGTGACGCAACAATAGGCGTATCCATGCACGCGCAAGCGTTAGCACAGAGTGGCCGTGAAATAGCGCTAAGGTTAGCAATTATTTTCTGCTAAAGTAAGCACAACTTTTCTGCTAACCGTTAAGCAGCGCCATGAAATTGGGCCCTGGGTAGCTGGGGTAAATGAGTGATACAGTTGAATGTCGTCAGGGTAGCAGTGGTATTGCAAGCTGTGTTTTTTGATGATCTGGCTTACTGGTAGAATGTAAACTGTGAATAGCAGAGGGCCTCCGACAGACCCTTGAGGAACACCGCAGTCAAGGACAGCAGGGGCAGATTTGACTCCATCGATGAAGACGGATTGATGTTATGGTCAGTTCGATAGGATTTAAACCACTGCAGGGCAGTACCATGAACTCCTAACGAGTGCAAGCGATTGACCAAGATAGTGTGGTCAACAGTGTCGAAGGCAGAGGACAGGTCAAGAAGAACAAGTGATGTAACTTTCCCGACATCCATGTTGCGTAGAATGCGATTCGAGAGGTGCAGAAGGGGGTGAATCTCGGTTTTGTTCAAGCGATTGACTCGGATGTTTTTACTTTACTTTGTGGAGGATTTGTAAAAGTTGTAATGTAAGTTTAATTCCTTAGAGTCTCAGGGCA